AATGTGAACGATTAATAATGAGTGTTAGGAAGAAACGAGCGACGTAATAGTTGAAGTAGACAATCAGTAGGTCGAGGGTAGGCACACGTTAATGTGAACGATTAATAATGAGTGTTAGGAAGAAACGAGCGACGTAATAGTAGAAGTAGCTAGACAACTAGTAGATTGAGGGTAGGTGCATGAATGTGGGAACAAACTAACAACAAAGTAATAGAAGTAGCTACAAAATAGTGCATCAGCATACACCTCTGTTAAGAGATTTAGTGCAACAACTAAGTTTCTATTGTCTATTATTAGTTTGTTATTAGTTTTTAGCTCATCTGACGTAGTCAGATGCAACTTGTAGAATCGCATGATTGTGCGTCCGTCCGTCCGTCCGTCAACTGTTGGGCACAAATCTTAACCGCTCGACGTACGGTCACGATATTTGGGACGTCGGGGGGGAGGGGGGGATTGTGAAAATGACTCAGGATGACAAATTTGGGGGTCAAAGGTCAAGATGTGTAAACGGAGGGGGGAATATTTCCCCCTTAACTTAAGGTATAGGAGGAAATACGGAATTGCGGCACGTCTTAACGGCTCGACCTATGCTCTTAATATTCGGTGTATAGTGTGATGTGCAGGAAACCCATCACCAGTGCGAAATTGGAGGTCAAAGGGCAGTGGGGGAAAGGTCAGATATCAGACATTTTCTGAGGACATGGCCTAAATGGACAGAGTGGAAAACTTTTTTGTTTCAGTGCTGACCTACCATTTTTATCACTTTATTGAAAGGACCATGAAATGTGCTTTCCACTGACGTGCGAAGAGTAAGTGTCTGATAACCTTTTGACCCTCAAGAGGAGGGTTAAACATGGATTCCTGAACTGCCTCAATGATGTCACAGTGTTGTCATATTTATGGCACATCCATAATCTAGAAACCCAATAAGCCTGGATAGCCGAACGCGTACAGCACAGGCGTCACGGCTCAAAGGTCGTTGAATCGAATCCCATCTGATCACGACTTAAATGTTACGTTTATAACCGTAGCAACAGACCTCAGATGAGCCCAGACGCTCTGCGGCTCTTGTTATGGTTTTAGTCTTGAACGATCCACTAAGTACTGCTCATCAAGCACTCTGTGAATGCACGCGATAGGGTTGTTGTGAATTTACATTATCAACAACTTTTTACCCCGTAGGTGGCACGTTGATCATCTACACGGATCTGTTCTATGTGAATGGGCGTACTGACGTGTATGAATACAGCTGGGCTGTGATGAGTGATCCGGTGGTAGCTGATCTGACAGACAGGGTGGAGGCGGACCAGCGGTGCACTGATCTGGGAAGCAGCCTGCACATGCGCAGTGATGTCATCTCTGTAGGTGAGTCATGCGTGTTTATCTGTAAGAGGTACAGTATACATGGTAATGTCTTTACGAATTCTCATTCCAGCATTGTTTACACGTACTATGTCTTGAATTGTTTTACTACCACACTTTCATTTTTATTTTTTACTAATTCTTTTGACAACCACTTTACACCTGGTATTTTTTTTATAATATATGTTGACATTGAACCGTATTTACCTGTAGTTTATATACATAGTCAAACCTGTGGTCACCTCTGTCATATAAAGAGAACTTTTGACATTTCCCTGGACTCGCGGTTACATGGTGAGGCCACCAATGTGAAACGGGTACACCTGTCTGAAGGACTCTCGACATCTATATTTATTTTATTTTTATGTGAGTGACTCCTATGTGCAGGTTCAATGTTATAACAATTGCATGTAAATTTTCCAGCAGTATGGAATGAGCGATCGGGTGCGACTGCATTATGTTGACTCTTGCCTCTCGGCGCACAGGTACCACCAGAGGCTCTCAAAAGCGATTCCTCACGACGAAGGACATGAGTCTGTTTGGATCGGTGAGCATCGCCAACCGCTCACTGGCATTGTTCGACAACGTCACCACGGTAGCCTGCGCCAACATCCGCCCCGTGCTGCCCCGCCATGCCGTCGGCACCTACAGCCACAGCAGCGTCGTCGGTACGGTGACCTTCCACCAGCGGTCGCAGTTTGACCCAACGACGGTGACCTTTGACATCGAGGGGCTCGCGGCGGAGGCGAGCGAATCTCACATCCACGCGTACCCGCACTCGGGCGAGAACGGCCAGGAGGGGGCGTGCTCGCGCGAGCAGACGGGCCCGCACTACAACCCGTTCGACGTCCCCTACAACGAAACCCTGCCGCTCGTCGGCACAAACGACGTCTACGAAGTCGGCGACTTCTACGGAAAGTTCGGCCCGCTGGACGGGCGGCGTGAGTTCCGCGCGACGTTCCGCGACCACAACCTGCCGTTGTTCGGCCCGAACAGCATCGTCGGGCGATCCGTCGACGTTCACTACGTCAACGGCAGCCGCTGGGTATGCGCCAACGTCGGCTACTGCGGCAGCGGCGACGTCGCGACGGCCCGCGCGCGCTTCACTTATCCGCTCGTCGGCGAGATCGTGCTGCGGCAGCCGCGCGGTGACCCGCTCGCTCCCACCTCCGTCTACGTCGACCTCGCGTGGTCCACGTCGCTGCTGCTGCCCACCAAGGCACACGCGTGGCGCGTGCATGCCGGAAGCGTCGGTGACGACTTCGACGCGGCCGACGAGGGGCGCTGCGGCAGCGCCCTCGCGCGCTACAACCCGCGCGGCGTCGCGACGGGAGGCGGGTACGCGGCGGAGTGCAGTGCGACGAGCCCGCTACGCTGCGAGGTCGGCGACCTCGTCGGGAAACACGGCGCCATCGACGTGCCGCCGCACGGACAGCGAATCAAGTACCTCTTCACTGACCCGCAGCTGCCGCTCTCCGGCCCGCAGTCTGTCGTGAGCCGCTCGATCGTGGTGCATGCCCCGCAGGGGGGCGCCGCACGTCTGGCCTGCGCGGACATACTGGAGGTTCCGCCCGTCGTCGCTAGCGCCACCTTTTCGCAGCCGGGCACGCCGGTGTCCGGCTCAGTGCAGTTCTCGCAGGATACGAGCTTCAGTGATTCGTCGGTTGTGGTATGTCTGGCTGTCTGTCGTCTTGCAGCTCTTTTTTTCTCTCTCTCTCTCTCTCTCTTTCTCTCTCTCTTTCTCGCTCTCTTTCTCTCTCTCTCTTTCTCTTTCTCTTTCAATTTTCTCTCCCTTTCTCCTCTCTCTCTCTCTCTTACTCTTTAGCTGCATCATCTCTCTCTCTCTCTCTCTCTCTCTCTTACCCTAGCTGTTAAAGTTACGAATAGGAAACTAATCTTGGGACTGGTGATGCTCATTCTGAAAACCTATATCAATTGTAATATCAAATATCAGTAATCAATATCAAATAACAATATCAGACTCCTGACAATATCAAAACGTATCAATCTCATTTGCGCAGGTGAATCTCAATGGCCTAGGTGGAGAGGCAGGTGGCTACCACGTGCATGTCTACACCCTTGACTACTGGCAGGAAAACCTGTGTAGCGACCCCTCCGTAGCCGGTCACTGGAACCCTTACAACGTTGACAAGAGCAAGAGTCCAGCACCGGGCACTGGCACGGATGACCAGTACGAGACAGGTAGTGATTGGAACGGAAAGCTCCGATGATGATGTTCATAATGCTGTGTGTTAGCTTTACGTAGTATTGTCGGGAGACCTTGCAACACTTGTTTAAACTGTCAGTCAAACTGTTAGTAAACAGTCCTGTTGATCTTAGAATCATATCATTTGACATAATTTTATCATTTTAAATATGATTTTTAGTTATTTTAGATTTATTATAAAATTGTTTTTTTTGGGAATCATCAGAGATTTACCGATGTGACAGTTACACTAGCTAATCTGCTGTCGTTGACAAGCTATGCTGATCCTTTGGTTGAGCTTGTCACCTAATGTGCAGTTGGTAGCAAAGTGATATACCCTCGATGTTGTTGCATGGACTTGATCGCCATAACTCTTGTGTGTGAGCTCCGACTTACCCTGTCAATAGGCGATCTGAGCGGAAAGTTTGGTTCACTGAAACTCCTTAAGAGGGCAGCACTAAGCTACACGTGTGCAGACAAGAATCTTCCGATGCGAGGCCAGAACGGCATCGTCGGTCGTTCGGTGGTCGTGCACAAGGAGAAGGAAGGAGCGCGGTGGGCATGCGCCGACGTGGAGGAGGGGCCGTACACAGACGCACGAGACAGCGTGTCTGCCATTGCCTCCTTCTCGCAGGGCGACGTCATAGGATACGTACGATTCGTGAGTGTTCCTCGCTCTAGTATTGTCAAGGACTGTTGTTCCTGTTGGCTCACACGGTAGCTATCATTCTCTTGCTTCTTGTTTTGCAACTTTCTCATCTGTAGGCCTTTCCTTCTATTTGTACTTTTTTTCTGACGTCTGTTTCTCTCTCTCTCTCTCTCTCTCGCTCTCTCTTGCTCTCTCTTTTTCTCTCGCTCTCTCTCTTGCTCTCTTTCACGCTCACTCTCTATTTTTTATCCTCTATCCCCCCTTCCTTGCAACCCTCCCTCTCTGTCTCTTTCTGTATTTTTTTTTCTTTTCCCCTCTCTCCATCTTTCATTTTCTATCTCTCTTTTGCTTGTTCTCTCTTTCTCTCTTTCTCTATCTATCTTGCTCTCTTTCTTTCGTTCTCTCTTTTTCTTCCTCTCTCCATTTCTCCCAGCCTCCATTGCCCAACCCTGTTGTTTCCATTGCTAACTTGGTTGATTGGCTTGTGTTTCAGAGGCAGTAAGTTGTACGCTACTCTGTTGCTAACCTGGTTGTGTGTCCGACTGTTTTTCAGAGACAGAATAAGCGATTTGGCACACAGTATCGTCCAAACGACGCAACCGTTGAGATAAGTCTACTCTACAATAAGTCCATTGCAGTAGAGGTATGCATGTCTTCACACATGTCACCACCGACTTCCATTCTCTCTCCTCTCTCTCTCTCTCTCTCTCTTTCTTTCTCTCTCTCTCTCTTTCTCTCTCTCTCTCTTCTCCCCCTTCTCTCTTCCTCCCTCCCTCCCTCCCTTCCCTCTTTTCTCTCCCCTAATATATGTGTGTGTGTGTGTGTGTGTGTGTGTGTGCGTGTGCGTGTGCGTGTGCGTGTGCGTGTGTGTGTGCGTGAGTGCGTGAGTGCGTGAGTGCGTGCGTGCGTGCGTGAGTGCGTGCGTGCGTGTGTGTATCGAGTGGACATAATAATATGATACCTGTGATTTATGGTAGAGGCCACAACTGCCATGTCAATTGTCATGTGATTGGGGCTTGCGGTAGCAAGCTGCATGATTGTTACAGAGAGATCTAGACCAGTGATTGACGTGTCAATTGCTACTTAGGTACTAAAGGCCCGTAATAACCATGGTCTGGGTATGTTTTAGAGCAAGGCCCATAACTGGCACGTGCACATTAGTCCTGTTGCTGGTGACTTGAACTCACAGACGAATCGATGTAAAAGCGCTGGACCACACTACAATCCTTTCCATGCCAACCTGACAGTAAGTCGCAAATGTTGAAACATGATCTGAGATGTTGTCGGAGTCCTGGGTCCATGGTTTGGGCATATCGTAAGAGAGCATGGAATTAAGTTAGCCTAGAATTGAGATAATTGAGGAATCTGGATAAAATGAAATCAACATCTATAAATGAAATGTCAAACACTAATAATTGAAATAGAATAAATATTAAATAAATAAATTCTGATATTTCTATAGTGTGTCATCTTTTGCAAACAGTGATTTATTGTCTATTGTTTTAACCAAATCCAATAATGTCTAAAGCCACCCAAATATCTACACTTTCACTCTGAATATCTGCAATATTTGCTCTTGGCCTAAGTTATGTTGGAGCTTACTAGAATGTGAGGGTTGCAGGATGAGTATAAGGAGAAGTGTGGACCGTCACAGCCATGGCTCTGTGAGCTGGGTGACATGTCAAGCAAGCTTGCTGCGTATGACATGGGTGCAGGCAGACGCATGTACACAGATGAGACCCTGGATCTATTCGGAGATTTCACAAGTATGCAACGTCATCAGGAGTGGCATAGTTACCAGATTCTATGTCTCCTCCATAGATTATAGATTATCCATATTTTTGCTAATTATGTTCACTTCTTGTGACATCGATAGCCCGCGTTTTTTCACCCTACAAAAAATACATGATCCCTGACATAGCTGAGAGATATTAATGATTAATTCAAGGTTAAATAGAATTTTATTTGAATTAAAGCGCAAAAAATTAATCAAAAAATTAAAATAGTTGATTATTAATAATAAAAAATATGCACTTCGTTTGTTGTGGCATGTGTTGGCAGCGACGCGGTAACTCTTTCGACGAGCGAGACAGCAGTCTCTTCGTTGTCCGAGATGTAGTGAGGCACGGTGTATTGTGTTGCAGTCGTTAATCGATCGGTCGTCATACATGAGGCCAACAATGGTCCTGCCAGGATCGCCTGCGCTAACATCGCCCTGGAAGAACGTGTCGACAAGGCTGTCTTTATCAGCAGTGAGGTTGACAGGTACTGTCAGCCTTCTAATGTTCCCTCACCATCCTGCCAGTCAAATCTTGAGGCGACGGTCATATGTTTTCCTAGTCAAGATACTTGAAATGGTTGTTTCCGGTCAACTCGTGTACACTCTGGGAGTTTTGTGATGTAAATCGCTTAATTTTACCTACCCTCGCATTGATATTAATTGTAAGTGAAAACGCAGCAATATTTTTGGATATTTGCTATATTTGGCTGTATACTGCCTGCTGACGTTCCTGGCTGGCTGGTGGAGGCATTTGAGAGGCCACTCACCATATTCTGCTTGGATTTCAGACTAGCTTTTGCTCGCATGCTAGTGACAGAGCTGGAAGTACATCCATGGACACTCACCGTCAGACAGGTGCAGAGTGACAGCACCAGGTGCTACCCCGTACTGGTGACCTTCATGTGTAAGTCACCTGCTGCCATTCGATATTGATGTACATATCATCAATGCTTTATTGTGATTTATTGGTAAAAGCGCAAAGTACTTCTTGTTTTTGTGCTCTCACTCTCTCTTTCTCTCTCTCTCTCTTTCTCTGTCTTTCACCCTCTCTCTCTCTCTCTCTCTCTCTCTCTCTCTCTCTCACACACACACACACATACACACACACACACACTCTTTCTCTATCTCTGTGCTTTTTGTCGTTCCATCTATCTGACGTTGCAACATTTCTAGACAAGCTTACATCATCACTGATGGCAGTTCATGGTGCTATACGTTTAATTTCGATTCAGCTGACGGGACCTCAAGTGCTACTGCTGTCCTCTCTAAGCTGGAAAGCCTGCTGGTGCAGCATGCGTGTGATGCAGACAGTAGGGCTGTTACAGGTAACACAGTGTAGCCATAAAGAAAGCATGTGCTACCTACTGTACTGATTCTGATCACCTTGACTCTGATTCTGATTGACACTGAACTTGACTTTGAAAAAAAAATTTGTTGACTTGCAATCAACATCTTTGTCTTTAACATTAACAACTTGTCTTTAACATTTACAATTAGTCATTGACTTAACACTAAATAAAAGTAAAGGGAGAGACAGTGGATAATTCTTTTTGTTGCTCAACTAAATTTTCCATAATTTTGTGTGAATGGATAACCCATATTTAGGACGTTTATCACCATATTCTATATATTATTGAAACTTTTGGATGTTAACTAAACATTTACTGTCAGCTAATTACTATTGGAAATAAGGTAAATAAAATTTATACTGATAGTATAGTCATGTTCTACTTTTGGAGAGGACAGTATTTTGGGCATGGTTAAGTGTAACATCAGACCCTGGTATATGTGACTCTAACATCAGAAACATATGTCTTATGTAAGGCTCAACTCTCATTGTCACACAGTGTGACAACACTATATCTATATACTCAACAAAGAAGCCTGATACTAAAAACAAATATTTTTGTCTTCTGGTAGTATCTTCTACCAGCCTGTAGTTCTACCTCAGCCTCTGTATATCTTCTACGTTCACTATTATGAACGTCATTAAATCACTGTCATATACTAATTGTCCTATAGTTGCTACAAATTATTTAATGGCCTTCTCTCTGACTTTGTGTGTTACTTCGTATATCCTCTACAAACATTTGCTACGTTGCATTAGCATCTGCCTCATTTACTGTCAATGCGGCAGTTGGTTCAGACCTGTTCTGTCCGCTTGTGGTGGCATCTTTCTGGGAATTAAGATCTGCGCTATTGTATTAGTGTTGATTCATTATGAACATGTCATGGTCACGGTTTCTCTAACATGTTTCAGGTTCACCTCATCCCTGGTTCGTGGTTCTTGGAGCTGTACTAACACTGTACTTTGCTGCCAACATGACACCTAAATAAAGATCTGACAACTATGAAAAATGACGTGATACTTTCATACGGGGTCTGGTGACTAAATATAAGATCTGATAATTTATTACAGAGCCTTGTGATTGTAATCATGGCATATGACATTTATATGAAGTATCTGCTACCTAAATGCAGCGTATGGTGATTAAATTGGCAACTACAGATAACATCATTGCATTATTGTGATGTATGTCTGCCACCAGGTGTCTCTGTTATCCAACAGTAATATTGCATACAGTGGGCTCAATCATGAGCATATGTGTACATTGAATTTACATATTATAGGTTTATATATCAGCTCAGAGCAATTATAATTAATTTGTTAAATAGTTCTTAGCTGATGAAACAGTTCGAACTGAGAGTTTTCACATCATTGTGTTTAAAATGGTAATATCTTCTTGAAATCAAGAATGGTATATATATA